GGCGCCGCGGCGGCGCTCGCCGCCGCTGCCGACGGCCGCCGGGCGGCGCCGCCGCGGCAGTTCGGCGCTTGGGAGCCCCAAAAGGCTTTTAAAAGTGCAAATAAGTCTTTTAAAAGGTTTAGAGTGGCGTTTGAGTTGCAGATCGCGCGGCTTTCCCGCGCTTTCCGCGCCGCGCAGCTGCGGTGTGGGTTTGTGCAAGTCGGGCGCGGCGCAGTGCAAACTGGCTCGCGTTTCCGCGATCTGTGGCTGATCTATGAACACAAATGCGAACTCAGTTTGTATTCCGAGTTTGAGCTGCCGGGAAGCGAGTTTGGGCGCTCAAATCCCGCCGCTGCTGCTGCTGCTGCTGCTGCTGCTGCTGCTGCTGCTGGTGTGCGCGCAGTCCGCTTTCTGTCGCTGGTGAAGCCGGCAATGTGCATTTTGCCGGAAGTGCACGCGCCGGAGCGGCGGGTGCCGTTTCGCGAGAAAGTGCTGTGGACTCTCATCTCGCTGGCGGTGTTTCTGGTTTGCTGCCAAATCCCGCTCTACGGCATTCGCACCAACCGCAGCGCAGACCCCTTCTACTGGATGCGAGTCATCCTCGCCTCCAACAGAGGCACTCTCATGGAGCTCGGCATTTCCCCCATCGTCACCAGCGGCATGGTCATGCAGCTCCTCGCCGGCTCCAAGATCATCCAGGTCGACCAGAGCCTCAAGGAGGACCGCGCGCTCTTCCAGGGCGCCCAGAAACGTCCGGCAAACCCCAAACCCTAAACCCTAAACCCTAAACCCTAAACCGTAGCCCGCAGCGCGGAAAGACGGGATGCAACTCGGCATAAATCGAATTGGAAACGCCTTCTCAGCTCCATGAGACTTTTGCAAAAGTTCTTTTTGGCTTTTTGCTCTTTTCTGCGGATTCGTGTTCACGTTTCGTTGCGTTCCGCTCCCTTCAGAATTCAACTTTTCCAGCAGTGTGTGCTTCTCTAGGCAGATGATGCTTCTCTTTCTCTTTACTCATTTATTTCATTCTATTCTGTTCTAATTAATTAATTAATTAATTAATTAATTAATTAATTAATTAATTTGTTGAAACAATTTGATGCTTTCTTTTCGCAGTTCTGGCGCTGCTGATCACCATCGGGGAAGCTGTCGCCTACGTCATAAGCGGCATGTACGGCCCCGTTTCTGAAATAGGAGCAGGTGGGGGTCTTGCAGTTGCGAAACAGCGAATATGAATTTAATATTTCCATTTTATGATTTCCATTTTATTTATTATTTCGAATTCCATTTTATTCTTTCGAATTTCCACTTTGTTGCTTCCCAACGCCATCCGCTTCCCTGAACTCCGACTGCGCGCAGTTTGTTGAATTTCTCGCATTTATTTATTTTTTTGAATTTGAACCCTTTGACGCATTTAAGACATTTTATTAAAGGAGATTCGAGGTGTCTGTACTCTCAATTTCTCGAATTTGGACTATTAATGCTCGAAGTTTCCTTTCTGGTTTTGCATTTCCGGAAACTCCGGCGCTGCTGGGGTGCGCACAGGCAGCGCGCTGCTGATCATTCTGCAGCTGTTTTTCGCCGGAGTTGTTGTCATCATTTTGGACGAACTTTTGCAAAAGGGCTACGGGCTGGGCAGCGGCATTTCGCTCTTCATCGCCACCAACATCTGCGAAACCATTGTCTGGAAGGTGCGGCAGCAGCAGCAGCAGCAGCAGCAGCAGCAGCAGCAGGTGGCGTCATAAATACACCATTTCATCGCTTTTTTTTTGATTTTAAATGTATTTTTACGAATTGAAGTGCTTTCTTGTAATTTAATTGTTTCTAAATGTCTGAAAGCAGCAGCAGCAGCAGCAGCAGCAGATGGCGTCATAAATACCCCATTTGATCGCATTTTTTCGTTTTTTTTAGCTTTTTTTGCAATTTAATTGTTTTAAAGACATAAAAGCCCCCTTTAGAGTGTCCAGTGTCTGTTTTCAGGCCTTCAGTCCGACGACGATAAAGACGGGGAAGGGCACGGAGTTCGAGGGGGCTCTGGTGGCTCTTTTCCACTGCCTCTTCACGAAAAGCACCAACACAGTGGCCCTGAAAGAGGCTTTCTACCGCTCGAACGCGCCGAACATAACTTCGTTGTTGGCGACAGTTTTGGTCTTTTTAATTGTGATTTACTTCCAGGGATTTCGCGTGGACTTGGCGGTGAAGTACCAGCGCGTGCGCGGCCAGCAAGGCCACTACCCAATTAAACTCTTTTACACCAGCAACATTCCGATAATTCTGCAGACTGCGCTGGTCTCGAACTTGTACTTCCTTTCGCAGCTGCTCTACCGCCGCTTCAAACACAACGTCTTAGTCAATTTGCTGGGCCAGTGGCAAGAGCTGGACTCTGGGGGCCACTCAGTGCCGGTGGGGGGCATAGCTTACTATATATCTCCTCCGGGGTCTTTTGGCTCTGTCTTGGAGGATCCTTTGCACAGTTTTGTTTATATTTCCTTCGTTTTGGTCTCTTGTGCGCTTTTTTCCAAAACTTGGATCGAAGTCTCGGGCTCTAGCTCGAGGGATGTGGCCAAGCAACTCAGAGACCAACAAATGGTCATGAAGGGGTACAGAGATAGCTCACTCGTACAGGTCTGCTGCTCCTCCTGCTGCTGCTGCTGCTGCTGCTGCTGCAGTGCTGCTGCTGCTGCTGCTGCTGCTGCAGTGCTGCTGGTGAAGCAGCAGCAACGCAAGCTCCTTCCTTGATCTTGCGCATTTTCCGTCGCTGTTGACTTTATTGCGTTGTTTTTGGATTTATTTTTCCATTATTTTCCATTATTTTGAATTATTTTGAATTAATTGAATTAATTGAATTAATTGAATTAATTGAATTAACAATTCCCCTTTGCGCGCTTCGCTGCGCAGGTCCTGAACAGGTACATCCCCACGGCCGCGGCCTTCGGCGGAATGTGCATAGGGGCGCTCACCATCATTGCGGACTTTCTCGGCGCGATCGGCAGCGGAACTGGCATTCTTTTGGCAGTCACCATCATTTACCAGTACTACGAAATGCTGGCCAAGGAAAAGGAACAAGGTGCGACAAATTCTGCTTTTTTTCCGCTTTTCAAATCTCCAAAATGACACTTTTGAGCCTTCTGGACTTCGCCGGGCTTCCGAACCCCTCAGGTGTATGTACACCCCAGGGAGCGAGGCCGCGGCGTTTGTTCAGTTTCTTCTTTTGTTTCTTTTTGTGAATTTCAGTTTTTAATACATTCCCGTTTTGTTTCTTTTTCTGAATTTCAGTTTTTAATGCATTCATTCCCGTTTTGTTTCTTTTTTCTTGAATTTCAGTCTTTTAATGCATTCATTCCCGTTTTGTTTCTTTTTTCTTGAATTTCAGTTTTTAATGCATTCCCGTTTTTAAACCGAGAGGGATGGGCTTTTGTTGTCAAGTTTTGTTAAATGAAATTCAAATTGAACTGAGCTCTGAGTGCCGCAGCTGAGGGTGGTGGAGTGTATGTACATACACCGGGTGGGTTGTTTTTATTCATTTCAATTTTTGAGTTTTTATTTTTTCTGAATTTGCAAATGTTCGCTGCAGGCAATTCAATCTTCTAGTCTTGCAGCGTGAGCGAAGGAGGGTGAAGAAGACCAGAAAGAAACAAAAACAAATAAATAAAAAAGAACAAAAAGGAGAAAAGACAAAAAGGAGAAAAGACAAAAAGGAGAAAAGACAAAAAGGAAAAAAGAAAGTTTTGAACTCTTCAGCGGCTGAGGCGCGGCGGCGTACAGAGACAGCTGCAGCAGCGGACAGGCCAGAGGCAGCAGCTGCAGCGGAGAATTAAAAAAGAAAAGAAAAAGAAAAACAAAAGAAAAAAGAAAAAGAAAAATTCAAAAAGGATTACAGAAGGTGGCGGAGAAGTTGCTGCTGCTGCTGCTGCTGCTGCTGCTGCTGCTGTGCTGCGTGGGGTGCAGCAGAAGTGCATTGGAAGATTTCATTTCTAGAAATGGAAAGAAGTATTTAATTTCTAGAAATGAGTTGAAGCATTTAATTTCTGGAAATGAATGGAAGCATTTAATTTCCGGAAATAAATGGAAGTTGAAGTTCATTTGGTGAAGTTCAGAGGAGCCGAAGAGAAAAGAAATACAATGGCAATAAAGTGAAGTTAAATCCTTTTGGACTTCTTTGAATTATTTAAACAAAAGGACAAAAAAGAAATTAAATAAAAGTGAATTCGAGGAGGGGAGGCGTCGCCGGCTTTCTCGGGGCGACGGCGCTTCGGGTGTACAGACACCTCGCGCTTGTTTTTAAAACGGCAAATTAGTTACTTCTTTATGTGAAGGCATTTCTTATTTTATTTTATTTTATTTCTTTTTTATTTTATTTCTTTTTGTTTTATTTCTCTTCTAGAAAGACATTTAGTTCGCCACGCAGCCTGAGGCCTCAGTAGGATGCGCAGCTGCTGCGGGCAAAAACTAAACTTGCGCCGCCGTTAGAGCTGCTGCTGCTGTTGCTAGTGCTGCTGCTGCTGTTGCTAGTGCTGCTGCTGCTGCTGCTGCTGCTGCTTCTGCTGCTGCTGCTGCTGCTGCTGCTGATGGCGGCGGACGGCTTCCTTTTTGTCTCTCTTCCTGGCGGTGCATTTGCTTTCGTAAGGTCCCCGAAGTCTTCACCTGGAGCAGTTTGCTGCGGCTGAGGCCCTCTTGCTGCTTCAAGTCTGCAGCAGCAGCAGCAGCAGCTGCTGCTGCTGCTGCTGCTGCTGCTGCTGCTTCGTTGGAAGGGCCTCCGAGTGGCCGCTGGCCAGCAGCAAAGGAGAGGCAGACAGCTTCAAAAATAAATTGAAGAGCTTTTTGACTCGTTGCCATTTCTCATTCCATTATGCCAGTCAGGGGTTCTTTCTGTTTGCCACGAGGAGGCTTTTGCAAGGAAGAAAAAGTGGAGAGAAAGGAAATGAATTGAAATGAATCATTTAAAAATAAATAAGTTGAGAAGGGGGATGGAGGGCTGCACACACTTCCCCAGAGGCCTCTTCTGCAGGTTCAAAGTGCTGCATGCGCCTTGTTAGTGTTTAGTTGCAGCGGATAGAGCCAGCGTGAGCCTCTAGGGTTTAGGGTTTAGGGTTTAGGGTTTAGGGTTTGGGTGTAGAACAGCCCGTGCGGTGGAGGTCTGGCGGGGCGCGGCGACGCGCGGGGAAACGAACATTTTTCTGGAAAATATGAAACAGATTTTGTGTTTAAATGCCAAAAGAATTTAAGACAATTGAACTCTGGGGGTTTTCTGTCGCGGGTTTCCGCGGCGAGGGGTTCGGTCTCGAGGGGTCGCCCGGTGGTGTTTCTCGGGGCCCCGGGCCTTCATGTTCTGCCCTTTTTGGGAATTCAAGTTCTCAAATTATTCTTTTTTGTCAATTAAAGTCACTGGAGTCATTTCAAATTCATATTCAAACGTTTACTGGGAGGATCAGCCCTCCGGTTTTGCATTCCGAGCATCGCTAGTCGACTGTTCGTACACCTGAGCACCACCTGCACAGACCATCGATGCAACTTCTTCGCCATTTCCTTCCGCGGCCGAATTAAACCTTCATTTTATCCTTATTAAGACCCTTTTACGTCTGCAGTTCACATTTTCCTCCGAATTTCGGGTATTCCGGAGATCTTTCGCCAGCTTTCCCGCAATTCAACTTCCCGCGCTTCGCCCGAAACGCCCGCGAACTGCAGCCAACTCGCCTCCGCAGGAACCCCAGCAAAGCCCATGGCCTCTGGAGCCACGGGCAGAGGCCCGTGGCGGCCCGGCGAGGCAAATGAGGCAGCAGCAGCAGCAGCAGCAGCTTTCCTGCCGCGGCTGCTGCAGCAGCCGGCGCACGCAGCCGCGGACTTCCAGAGGCACCAGCAAGCTCACGAGCAGCTGCAGCACCTGCAGCAGCAGCAGCTGCAGCAGCTGCAGCAGCAGCAGCTGCATATGCTGCAGCAGCAGCAGCAGCGGCAGCAGCAGCAACCCAGACCCAAAACTGTCGCCTGGCAGCCCTCAAGCTCCACTGATGATGAGCTTAATGCAGCTTACTACGAGGCGCAGGCCAAGATCGAAGTCACTGCGCACTGCAGGCCCAAAGAGGGTGCGACATTGCCTAAACCCTAAACCCTAAACCCTAAACCCTAAACCCTAAACCCTAGTTCACAAGTCCTAAATATTCAAACACTCGTGCGCCTCCTTTTGCAGAGATTTTCCAGGCCTTCAAAGAGGCCATTAGAATGCGTCCTGTTCTGTCTCCAAAGCACCGCGAGCTGCTCGTAAACCCTAAACCCTAAACCCTAAACCCTAAACCCTAAGCCCGGAGCTTCAAGCGCTAAATTACTCCCCACCCCTTTTTCAAAAGACCCTTTGGACTGAAGCCCTAAGCCCCAAAACTAAGTAAAGGCTCTCCGCCGAGGCGTCCAAACCCTAAACCCTAAACCCTAAACCCTAAACCCTAAACCCTAGGTGCTTTGGGGTGCTGCGCTGCAGGCCAACACCGTGAAGGGTTTGGTGACTGACCGGCAAGTGTCTTACCATATGGTGTCTGCAATGGGAGCTGCAATGAAAGCTGCTGCTGCTGCTTGGTCTGCTGCTGGGGAGAAGGGCGCTGCTGCTGCAGTGCAGCAGGCTGCTGCTGCTGCTGCTGCAGCACTGACTGCAGCAGGAGTCTCTCCGCAGGAAGCAGGGCAGCTAGCAGCAGACACGGCGCTGACGAGGGGCGTGGGAGCAGCACGGAATTTGGTGCTGCAGCACAAGGTGCAGCAGCAGCGGCAGCAGAACGCAGCAGCAGCAGCAGCAGCGCTGGAGCGCGCGCAAGCAGCAGCAGCAGCAGCAGCAGCAGCAGCAGACAGAGAAGACTCCTCGAGCGGCGGCACAGACGAAAGCTCCGGGGACCTCTTCAGCAGCAGCGGCGCCGACAGCAGCAGCAGCAGCAGCAGCAGCAGCAGCAGCAGCAGCAGCGGGATCGCGCCCGACTCCGCAGCAGCGCTGAGCCGCGGAGTGCCCATCCCGCAGCAGCTAATGGAAGCAGCAGCAGCAGAAGAGCTGCTGCCTTTTGCTGCTTACTTTTTGAAAAGAATTGAATTCTTTTTGAAGCAACTTATCAAAGAAGTCCAGGACCTTTCCAGAAAGGTCCACAGAGTCGTCAAAGCCCTGCTCCTCCCCGCCGCAGACTCCACCGTAAACCCTAAACCCTAAACCCTAAACCCTAAGCCCTAAACCCTAGGCCTGACTTTTTAGGGGCCTTGGGGGTTGTTGGGGGCCTGCAGAGGGACATTTTGTGCGGGCAGAAATCGTTGGACGGAGGAACAGCTTGGTGCTAGGGTTTAGGGTTTAGGGTTTAGGGTTTAGGGTTTGAAGCTTGGGGTTTAGTAGGGCTTAGGGTTTAGGGTTTAGGGTTTAGGGTTTAGGGTTTAGGGTTTGTGTTGCTTGCTCAGGAAGCGAAGGTGTTCTATTTGCAGCTGGACGCTGACGTTGCGCGCTACGCAGCTCAGGTGTATATACAGCTCACTTCGGCTTTTGTTTTAAATCTTTTATTTCATTTCTCTTTTTGCTTTTTATCTTTTCTGTTTTTCTCATTTTATGAATTATTATTTTTTGTTGTGAAGTAACAAATAGAATTCCCTTTTCCTTAAATTTCCTCACTTCGGGGTGTACGTACACCTGAGTTCTCTGCTGGCATCTCGTGGCTGCCTTTTTTGAGGTGTATGTACACCGCAGAGGCACAAGTCCATTTGGCCCTTGTGCTGCTGCAGTGTATGTACACCTGAAGCTGCTGCTGCAGTGTCTGTACACCTGAAGCTGCTGCTGCAGTGTATGTGCACCTGAAGCTGCTGCTGCTGCTGCAGTGTATGTACACCTGAAGCTGCTGCTGCAGTGTATGTACACCTGAAGCTGCTGCTGCAGTGTATGTACACTTGAAGCTGCTGCTGCAGTGTACGTACAGCTGCCTGAAGCTGCTGCTGCAGTGTATGTACACCTGGAGCTGCTGCTGCAGTGTATGTACACCTGGAGCTGCTGCTGGGGTGTACGTACACCTGAGGCGCGGCTGGCGCTGCTGTTGTTTGGTGGTGTCTTTGCATTTGTTTTAATTTGGATTTGCATTAATGAATTTAATTTAATTGGAATTTGCATTAATGAATTTAATTTAATTGGGATTTGCATTAATGGATTTGATTTTGATTTTTGTTGGGCTTTGCTGCTGCTGCTTGCTGCTGCTGCGCTGGGGTGTACGTACACCTGGCTGCAGATCGCGACGGACGCGGAGGAAGTGAAGGAGTTCAGAAAAATGAGTTTAGAACTTTACAGAAGTGCTTTGTCTTTGTTGCAACAAAAACAAAAAGAAATAAAAGAAAAGGAGCAGCAAAGTTCCGCGGAAGCTGAAGACCAAGTGCCCCTTTCCCTCAAAATGGGACTCGTGCTCAACTACGCAGGTCCGCTGCTGCTGCTGCTGCTGCTGCTGCTGCTGTGGCTGCTGCTGCTGCTGTGGCTGTGCTGCTGCTGCTGCTGCTGCTGCTGCTGTGGCTGTGCTGCTGCGGCTGGTGTAGCGTGCATTCGAGGCGTTGGCACTGGTGCTGGCTTGCTGCCGCTGAGGCAGCTGCCTAGTAGTGCTGCTGCTGCTGCTGCTGCTGCTGCTGCTTCGTGATGTGCTGCTGCTGCTGCTGCTCTTGCTGCTGCTGCTGCTGCAGTGCTGCTGCACGACGAGCCCAATGGGGTGGAGCAAGCCATAGACGCCTTGGCAGCTCAGTTCAGAGAAGCAGTCGAGAACGTCGTCCACATTTCGTACGCAAACCCTAAACCCTAAACCCTAAACCCTAAACCCTAGACACGCTTTGCATCTTCATGAATTGATCTATTTGTTTATTCTTTCTTTATTTCTTTTTAGGACTCATTTATTAATTCTCATTTGTTTATCAATTGCTGTTTGCCAATATTTGTTTCTTTTATTATTTGTCTGTTTGCTTTTCGAGCTAGTTCGCATTTTATTATTATTTGCCTATTTTAACTCCTGCATTATTTATCCATTATTTGATAATTATTTATTGTTTACTCATTATTATTATTATTATTATTATTATTATTATTGTTATCATTATTACTATTATTGTTACTATTATTGTTGTTATTATTGTTGTTAATTAATTAATTAATTAATTAATTAATTAATTAATTAATTAATTAATTAATTTGTTTTGAAGGGACACGGAGGAGAGCCGGCGGGTGGTGATGGTGATGAGTTTGCTGCGGGGGAATGTGGAGGCGTGGTGTGAGGGTAAGTTGGACTTAAATGGCGAATTTTGTTTGTTTTTCATTTATTTTTCATTTATTTTTCATCTATTTTTCATTTAAATTCAAAATTATTTATTTATTTTATATTTTAAAACTAAAATTGCAATTTAAATGCAAAAAATCCGCAAAAATTCGCCGCAGCCGCCCGGCCGAGCTGCCGAGACACCGCGGCGCTCTCAGGTGTACGTACACCTGAAGGCTCCAGAAAGATAATTGCAAATAAATAAAATAATGAAAAAGTTGTGTTAATCAATTAATTAATTAATTGAATTGATTTATTTCTCAGTTAAATTAATTAAATTAATTAATTGATCAAATAGAGCAAGAAAGAGATAAGTTGAATTTGTTTGGCTGCGGTGCTGAAAGAACACTGTGTCTGTACACCTGTAATCTGTTTTGCTGCTGCTGCTGCTGCTGCTGCTGCTGCTGCTGCTGCTGCTGCTGTTGCTGCTGCTGCAGAGGCAAACCGAAAAGACGCAACAAAGCTGCTGGGGCTCGACGGCTCTGCTGCGCTGCTGTAGGACTTTTGCTGCTGAAGGGGATTTTATTGTCTTTTATTTTTCCCTTTTTTTATTTGTTTCTTTTTTGTTTCTTTTGATTTAATTTGCTGCTTCACTCCTTTATTTTGCTTCCCTTTTGCTTCTTTTCTTTCTTTCTTTCGCCTTCTTTTCTTATCTCCTTTTCGGTTTCTTTTATCTCCTCGGCGGCGCTTAAACAGCAGCATCAGCAGCAGCAGCAGCAGCAGCAGCAGCAGCAGCAGCAGCAGCAGCAGCAGTTGTTCTAGGGGGCCACTCACGCAGGCCCCAGGTGTACAGACACCTCGTTCTAGCAGCGCCGCAACTAAATAAAACAAATTCTCCTTTTCTTCTTATGCGCCTTCAGCTAGCTACAGCTAGCTACAGCTAGCCACAGCTAGCTACGGGTAGCTACGGCTAGCTACAGCTAGCTACAGCTAGCCACAGCTAGCTACAGCTAGATGCAGCTGGCTGTAGCTAGCCAGAAATAGCTACAGCAAGCCATAACTAACCACAGTTAGCTGCAGCTACCTACAGCTAGCTGCAGCTAGCCACAACTAGCCACAGCTAGCTGCAGCAAGCTGCAGCTAGCTGCAGCTAGCCATGGCTCTCATAGCTAGCTGCAGCTAGCCATAGCTCTCGTAGCTAGCTGTATCGTTTTTCATTTTGGTCCCAAAGTGGTTGCAGCTGCCTTCTGCGGAGCCCCGCCAGCTAGCTAGCCAGCTAGCTTGCCAGCTAGCTAGCTAGGCAGCTAGTAGCTAGCTAGCTAGCTAGCCAGCTAGCTAGCTAGGCAGCTAGTAGCTAGCTAGCTAGCTAGCCAGCTAGCTAGCTAGCTAGCTTGCCAGCTAGCTAGCTAGGCAGCTAGTAGCTAGCTAGCTAGCTAGCTAGTAAGTAGGTTAGTTAGTTAGTTGGTTAGTTAGTTAGTTAGCTAGCTAGCTAGCTAGCTAGCATGGCTAGCTGACGGACAGATTGCTGCAGGGTGGAATGCAGATAGTCAATCATGGCGCTGCTTGATTGTGGGGAGAAGCAGCGCGGCAGTCCTCCTTTTGCTGCTGCTGCTGCTGCTGCTGCTGTTGTTGCTGCCTCTGCTGCTGCTGCTGCTGCTGCTGCTGTTGTTGCTGCTTCTGCTGCTGCTGCTGCTGCTGCTGTTGTTGCTGCTTCTGCTGCTGCTGCTGACTTTTCCTGAAGCCGCTGCTTTGCCGCATTATTGCTGCTGCGGGTGGTCCTGGTGCTGTTGCTGCTGCTGCTGATCCTGCTGCTGCTGCTGCACTTGCTGCTCCTGCTGCTGCTCTTGCTGCTGCTGCTGCTGCTGCTGCTCCGTTTCGAAGTAATAGAAAGTCCCGTCTCCCCCGAAGTAGCCTCTGCAGACTCCCTGGGCGTCATAAGCAAAGCCGTGTTCATCATAGACAAATCCATACTGGTCTAGCTGCAGCTCAATGCCTTCTGCTGCTGCTGCTGCTGCTGCTGCTGCTGCTGCTGCTGCTTCCGGGGCTGCTGCTGCTGCTCCCCAGTCTGCTGCTGCTTCTTCTGGGGCTGCTGCTGCTGCTGCTGTCCAGTTTGCTGCTGCGGCCGGCGAGATCGTTGCCTGCAGCGCTCCTGCTGCTGCTGCTGCGGGCGATATTGTGGCTTCCAGCGTCGCTGCTGCTGCTGCTGCTGCTGCTGCTGTGGGGGCTGCTGCAGTGTTTGCTGCGGCTGCGGGGCTGTGCTGCTGCTGCTGCGCCTGCTGTAGCTGCTGTTGTTGCTGTGCCTGTTGCTGCAAATGCTGCTGCTGCTGCTGATACGTTTGTTGCTGCTGCAGCAGATGCTGCTGCAATTGCTGCTGCTGCAGTTGTTGCTGTTGTAGTTGCTGCTGCAACTGTTGCTGATGTACTTGCTGTTGCTGCTGCTGCTGTTGCTGCTGGAGCTGTTGCTGCTGCAGCTGCTGTTGCTGCTGCAGCTGCTGTTGCTGCTGCAGTTGTTGTTGCTGCTGCTGTTGCTGCTGCAACTGCTGTTGCTGCTGCAGTTGTTGCTGCTGATGCTGTGGTTGCTGCTGGTGCTGCGCTTGTTGCTGCTGCTGGTGCTGCGCTTGCTGTTGCTTCTGGTTTAGCTGCTGCTGCTGCGCTTCCTGCTGCTGCTGCTGCTGCTCTTGGTGCTGTTGTTGTTGCTGCTGCGCTTGGTGTTGCTGTTGCACTTGTTGCCGCTGCACTTGCTGCTGCGCATTTTGTTGTTGTTGTTGTTGTTGTTGTTGCTGTTGTTGTTGATGTTGCTGCTGCTGCTGTTGCTGCTGCTGTTGCTGTTGCTGTTGCTGCTGCTGCTGTTGCTGCTGCTGCTGTTGCTGCTGCTGCTGCTGTTGCTGCTGCTGCTGTTGCTGCTGCTGCTGCTGTTGCTGCTGCTGCTGCTGCTGTTGTTGCTGCTGTTGCTGCTGCAGCAGCTGCTGCTGCGGCTGCTGCTGCTGCTCGCCCCTGAGAGTTTGCTGCTGCTGCTGGCCTGCCGGCGCCGCAGCCGCGCCTCCGTCCTTGCCGCTGCTGCTGCTGCTGCTGCTGCTGCTGCTGCTGCTGCTCTGGGGTTCCTGCTCCCTGCTGCTGCCCTCGGCAGTAACTTCTATTATTTTGCTCGCCAGCAAAGCAGCCACAGCTTGCACATCTGCTTCGAACCCCAGGGGGCCCCCCGAGGGTTCAATTTCGGGTTCGAGTTCTTCCATTAAGTTGCTCGGGAGGGGCCCCAGGGCCTCCCCGGGGGCCTCCCCGGGGACTTCGGGGGCCCCCAGGGGCCCCCCTGGCGTTTCGGGGGCCCCCGGGGGGCCCCCGGGGAAGCCCAGGGGGCCCCCCAGTGCTGCGCGCTCGTCCGCTGCTGCTGGAGCTGCTGCTGCTGCTGCTGCTGCTGCTGCTGCTGCTGCTCCTGCTGCTGCTTGCTGCGAATACCTGCGGCTGCGGGAAATCTCCTTCTCCAGCACGTTGCGGAAACCCTCAGCAACTGGAGAACTTACCCGCTGCTTCTCTTTGCTGCTGCTGCTGCTGCTGCCCTGCTGCTCCCCGTCAGAGGGGCACCTGCTGCTGTTGCTGCTGCTGCTGCTGCTGCTGCTGCTGCTGCTTATCCCGCTGTCGCTGCCAGCCTCCGCCCGCCGCCGACGCCGCTCTGCGCGCCGGCGCCTGAATGTAACACTCACTCATAAACCCTAAACCCTAAACCCTAAACCCTAAACCCTAAACCCTAAACCCTAAACCCTTATGCATGTGCTTATGTGCAGGCCCAGCTCTATGCAATACTAGTGGCGTTTCCCCCGTTCTGCGCTTCTGTCCCAAACCCTAAACCCTAAACCCTAAGCCCTAAACCCTAAACCCTTTTCTGACTGTTGAGCTTCTGCTTCTTCTTTTCTTTTTCTTTCTTGTTCTTCTCTTTCTCTCTTTTCTTGTTCTTCTTTTAGCTGCTGCTGCTCTTCAGCCTTTCTTGCTGCTTCTAAAAACAGCTCCCGCTGCAGCTCCAGCTCGTCTTGCTTCCGCTGCTGCTCCTCCAGCAGCCGCTGCTGCTCCTCTGCAGCAGCAGCAGCAGCAGCAGCAGCAGCAGCAGCAGCAGCAGCCAGTCCGCAGGCGATGGTCACTCACCAACCCTAAACCCTAAACCCTAAACCCTAATCGCTGGACCCTGAACTCCAGCGGACGAGCCACGCACTGCTCCAAACGACAGCACGCCCCAGGCGCAAACCCTAAACCCTAAACCCTAAACCCTAAACCCTAAACCCTAAACCCTAAACCCTAAACCCACCCAGGAGGAGCCTGTAGGGCTGTTCGTCGTACTGGTAGCAGTCTATGAACTGCTGCTCTCCTGCTTCCTCTTCAATCTTTTTCAAACTTTGCTGCTGCACTTCTGCTTCTGCTGCTCGCAGCTGCTGCAGCAAAGACAGCAGCCGCATTTCCTTGGCTTCTTCGCCCCCCGGCACAGTTTCGCTGCTCGCGCTCTCCTGCCGCATCCGCTCCCACGTGGCGCTGCAGGCCACAAACCCTAAACCCTAAACCCTAAACCCTAAACCCTAAACCCTAAGCCCTAAGCCCTAAACCCTACAGCCTAAACTCTAGGCCCTCAGCGACTCCTAGGCCCTTGGGTTTTGCCGCTAAACCGCGAAGACATGGCCCAATGCCTAGGCCTTAGAAGCTAAACCCTAAACCCTAAACCCTAAACCCTAAACCCTAGATCACCTGTTGGCCTGCATGACGCAAACCCTCGTGTCGAGGTCACCCGGGAAGAACCAGGCGAGGATAGAGTAGAAGGGAACGAAGATATTATCTAAACCAATCAGAAATATTAAAAAGAATTAAAATTAATTAAATTTGACTTTCAATTTCATCTAAAAATTCATTTATAGCCGAAATTCAAAACTCTCCGCGAGCCGTGCACACAGTTGGGGTGTACATACACTTCAAAACACGGCCAATTGCAAAAAACCGCCGGAGAATTTCTTGCACTGCATTTAGGGATAAAAATATGTTTAAACTGCCTAATTAATTAATTAATAAACAAAAAAGAATAAATAAATGAATTGAATTGCTTTTATAATTCATTTGAGGCCAAAATTGCCTCCGAAGACACCCGAGCTGAGGTGTACATACACCTCACCGATGTAGTGAATCATCGTCGTGGCCAAACAGTTTTCTGTGGGCAGCTGAAGTGAAAAAAGGAAAATAAAAACAATTAAAAATAAAAATAAATAAAATAATTAAAATAAATTAAAATTAATTGTAATAAACAAAGCTTAAGGGGTGTTCGAGACAGCAAATGAACAATGCAAAAGCAAATTCGAAATGAGAGGCTCTCCGCAGCTAAACCCTAAACCCTAAACCCTTCGTCTTAAACCCTAAACCCTAAACCCTAAACCCTAGCTCACAACAACGCTGGGGGCGCTCTGAGGGATTTTCAAGGCCTCTTCCAGAGTGTTCTGAGCACAACACATTCAGTTAAATAATTACTTGATTAATTTATTTTTTTGTTTCCTAGGGTTTAGGGTTTAGGGTTTAGGGTTTAGGGTTTAGCTGGTCTTGTTTGCCCGCAATCTGGAGGCGCCAGACAAATAAAAGTTTTCTTTTTTCATCAAGGGTATTTCTTTATTGGAATTTATTTATTTTTTCTGCATGCACCTAAACCCTAAACCCTAAACCCTAAACCCTAATCCCTAATCCCTAAACCCTAAACCCTAAACCCTACCTGGAAGTGCAATTCGAGCAGCATCCTCTCTCCCCATTTTCGGTGAAGAGGAAAGTTTGCCAGCACCCACGCGTTGTCAGCTGCACCCAAACCCAAAACCCTAAACCCTAAACCCTAAACCCTAAACCCTAAACCCTAAACGACATGCCCAAGCGGACCACATTAAACTGTAAGTTCTAAATCGTAATAAGCCCAAAACCTCGACCCTATTCCTTAAACCCTAAACCCTAATAAGCCCTCGCAAGCCCTAAACTTATGGGGCCTTTTGAGGGTTTATTAGGGTTTAGGGTTTAGGGCATAAACCCTCGAAAGTCTTCCAAAGCCTCAGTAAACCCCTAAACCCTCATACACCCTCCTAAACCCTTATAAATCCTCGTAGGTCTTAAACCCTAAACCCCAAAAAAAAATGCCCTTCAAAATCCTCCTAAACCCTCGTAAACCCTCATAAACCCTCCTAAACCCTCGTAAACCCTCATAAACCCTCGACCCCCCGGTAAACCCCCTTAAAACCCCTTCAAACCCCCTTAAACCCCCGTAACCCCACTAAACCCTCGTAAACCCCCTAAACCCTCGTAAACCCTCGTAAACCCCCTAAACCCTCGTAAACCCTCGTAAACCCCCCAAACCCTCGTAAACCCTCGTAAACCCCCCAAACCCTCGTAAACCCTCGTAAACCCCCTAAACCCTCGTAAACCCCCTAAACCCCCTAAACCCTCGCAAACCCCCTAAACCCTAAACCCTCGCAAACCCCCTAAACCCTAAACCCTCGCAAACGCCCTAAACCCTAAACCCTCGCAAACGCCCTAAACCCTAAACCCTCGCAAACCTGCGCGGATGAGGCAGGCGTCGCGGGTGGCCTCGTCGAGGAGGGCGGCGGGAGTCGCTGAATTAGGGTTTGCGTTTTTGAGGGTTTGGAGAGCGTCGGCGAGGAGGAAGTGGGAGTCGGGCTGGGTGGCGAGGATGGCGCGGGTGACGCGGTGTTTGGCGGTTTGCTGCTGCTCCGCCGTAAACCCTAAAAAGAGGTTTGCGTCTTCCCGCTCCAACAGCGACAGCAGCAAATAAGAATGAAAACGCTGCAGCACAGATTTCTCGTTGAACAAAACCGCGCTCAAACTTCGACAAGAAACCAACGCGGAGTTCGTGAAACCAGGGTGGCCCACGTTGTGCCCCAGCGCTGCGCGCAAACCCTAAACCCTAAACCCTAAACCCTAAACCCTAAACCCTAAACCCTAAACCCTAAACCCTACACCCTGGGCGGGGGCAACGGACGGCAAGCACTAGCCACAGATGGGAAGCAGGGACGAGCAGCAAGGGGCCTGGTACCCGAAGTTCGAAACCGGAACCCTGTAAACCCTAAACCCTAAACCCTAAACCCTAAACCCTAAACCGTAGGCAACAGGCAATACACCCGAAACCACACACAATAAACCTGGGACAATGAACAAGAAACTCGAAACTCGGAATGCAAAACCCGGAATGCGAAACCCGAAACCTTGTAAACCCTAAACCCTAAACCCTAAACCCTAAACCCTAAACCCCCGTTCACCTGCCAACACCATCCAGAATTGGTCTTCGAAGGAAAACCATCGCTGGAAGGAATAGTCTTTGCAAATTAAAGTGATGACCTGGCGACAAATAAATAAATAAATAAATAAATAAATAAATAAATAAATAAATAAATAAATAAATAGTATTTCCCAGCTGAATAAATCAATTAGCAGGTAGACAAAGTAGCTGCTGCCGCTGTTGCTGCTGCTGCTGCTGCTGCCACTAAGCTGCAGCAGCAGCAGCAACAACAACAACTAAAACAACACAAACAACTATACTACCACTACTGCTGCTGCTGCTGCTGCTGCTGCTGCTGCTGCTGCTGCTGCTGCTGCTGCTGCTGAGCTGCTGCTGCAACAGCAACAACTACTGCTGCTGCTGCTGCCACGGGGCTGCCGCAACAACAGCAACAAAAGCAACAAAAACAACACCAACAACTAGCGCCGCCGCCGCCGCTGCTGCTGCTGCTGCTGCTGCTGCTGCTGCTGCTGCTGCTGTTGCTGCTGCTGCTGCTGCTGCTGCACCTGTGCCACGTGGAGTCCGTGGTTGAAGGAGTGGAAAGGAACATTTAAATAATTATTTTGCAGCAGCAAAATAAACTTTTCAACTGTTGCTTCTGGCAAAGAAAAGTCAGCCCGCCGCGCCACCCACTGCAGCAGCTTCGAGGCCTGCAGCAGCTCGCAAACCCTAAAAAAGGGTTTTGTCTTCAAGGCTTTTTCGCAGGTTTGAAGCTGTTTAGTTTGAGTTAAAAGAAGGTTTAATTCAATTTAAAAATATATTTAATTGGGTTTGAAAAGATATTTAATTTGATTTAAAAAGATGTTTAATATGGTTTTAAAAGAGATTTAATTTGATCTGAAATATATATTTAATTACATTTTAAAAGAAACTTAATTAGATTTAAAATCTATTAATTTAGAATTAAAAGATATTTAATTAGATCTCAAAACATTTAATTGGATTTAAAAACATATTTAATTTGATTTAAAAGATATTAATTTAAAATTAAACATATTTTATTAAATTTAAAAAGAACTTTTGAGTTCTTTAGAGGGCCAGCAAATGATAAAAATAAATTAAAAAATAAAACATAAATGAAAATAAATAACAGCAACAAAATATAAACAAATAAACAATAAATAAATAAAACAATAAATAAATAAACAAGCATTAGTAGTAAACGAATAAATTAATTAATTAATCAATAATAAATAAATAAATAAAATTAAAAATAAATAAATAGAAAGCAAATAAAGAAAATAATAAATAAAAATGGCAAAATGGCGAAAAACAAAAAAGCGAAAAATGGAATTTTGAAAACTTTTCGAAAAAAGAAAATTTGAAATTAAAATGAAATATTTAAATATAATTTAAATGGAAATTATAATAAATAAATAAATTAATTTATCAAACTAAGTTGAAATTAGTAAAATAATAAAATAAATTAAACAATAAATAAATAAATAAATAAATAAAAATAGTAAAATAATGCAATAAAGAAATGGCAAATGCAGAAAAGCAAGAAAAGGCCAAGAGAAAAACAAATTGACAAATCGAAAAAAAGACTTTTCAAAAAAGAAAAATAAAAATAAAATAAATAAAATAGAATAAAATAAAATAAAACAAAAAGAATAAAACAAACAAAATAAAATAAATGAAATAAACCAAACAAAATAAAATAAAATTAAAAACAATACATAAAATAAATTGTGAGTTTGGAATGAGTTTAGGCCAAAGGGAACAAAAACCAAAAAAATGGAAAACTGAATTAAAAAAAAAGAAAACAAAAAGAAATAAAAAACAAAATAAATATAATATTTGAATTAAACAAAAAGAAATAAAAAACAAAATAAAAGAGCAGCAGAATAAAACAGAAGAATTAAAATTAAATTAAAATTAAAAAACAGATGAAGAGAAAAACTCAAACAAAGACACCAGAAAGAAATTAAAATAAAATAAAAAAAATAAAATAATAAACGAAATAAAATAATAAAACAAACAAAATAAATAAAAGAACAAAACAGAGTAAAATAATAAAACAAATCAAATAAAACAAAATAAATAAATACAACAAATTTACTCTTTGGAGTGAAGTCGCCCAACAGAAACAAAAAAGCCTTTTAATGCACCAAAACAAAACAAAAAAAGAACAACAAAATAAAATAAATAAAACAAATAAAATAAATAAAATAAATAAAATAAATAAAATAAATAAACAAACAAAAGAAACAAAAGAAATAAAAGAAATAAAAGAAGAATAAAAGAAATAAAGGAAATAAAACAAAAAAACAAAAATATATAAGGGAAGTAAAAATAAAACAATAAAACAAGAGGACACAAAAGAATAAAAGAAATAAAAGAAATGAAAGAAATAAAAGAATAAAAGGAATAAAAGAATAAAAGAAGTAAAAGAAATAAAAGAAGAATAAAAGAAATAAAAGAAACAAAAGAATAAAAGAAGTAAAAGAATAAAAGAAATAAAAGAATGAAAGAATAAAAGAATAAAAGAAATAAAAGAAATAAAAGAATAAAAGAAATAAAATAAACAAAGAAATAACAATACAAATAAAAGAAATAAACGAAATAAAAGAATAAAAGAATAAGAGAAATAAAAATAAGACAAAGAAATAACAAAACAAATAAAAGAAATAAAAGAATAAAAACAATAATAAATAAAAAAAATAAAAATAAAACAAATAAAAGGAAAAACAAAAACTAAGAAGTTTTGCAGCTTTGACTCTGCGCAGCGAAGCCAAGTCGGAAAGAAGCAAAAAAGCGAAAAAAGTGGCTTTAAATGCATCAAAACGGAGCAAATAAGAAGAAAAAAAGAGAAAAAGAATAAAAGAATAAAAGAAATAAAAGAATAAAAGAATAAAAAGAATAAAAGAATAAAAGAATAAAAGAATAAAAGAAAACAAACAAAAAAGAAAAAGGAAAAAAAAGTTCTGCAGCTTCGACTTTGCGCAGCGAAGCCAATCGGGCGCCAAACGAAGCGGAAAGCGGCTGTAGATACACCAAAACGCAGCCAATTCAAAAACAAACAAACCAAAACAAAATAAAACAAATAAAACAAATAAAACAAATCAAAAAAAAGAAAAAACTGACAAGTTTTGCAGCTTTGACTCTGTGCAGCGAAGTCAAGTCGAAGTCCCAGCTGTACAGACACTCCAGCCCCGGCGCGCTTTGCGCGCGGTGAAATTCCTTCAGGCGGTGGGGGTGGGGCAGAATGGGGTGGAGTGCGGCGTGGCTGTTGAGTCTGAAAAGGGGGTTTTGGAGGCCAAAAGCAGCTCTTTAAACCCTGATTTAGGGTTTTAAACCCCCAATTAGGGTTTATTTCCTTTTGGTGCGCGAAATTCCAGAAAAAACGACCCCAAATCCACCTTTTTCCACTTCTCCAAACACGACACTCTTGCATGCACACCCGCTGCTGCTGCAGCCAATTAATTAATTAATTAATTAATTAATTAATTAACTAATTAATTGAATTAATTAATTAATTAGTTAATTCGTTAATT